TAACGAAGATGAAATACAGAAAGAAATGTACATTAATATTATCACCACCTTTGCGTTACATTTAATTGAGGAAACTAATAGCACTGTCGACTTATATACTCTTACTCGAGATGTAAAAGATATGGTAGAATTTGAGATAGAACTGGCTAGCGTGAGTAGAAACCATTAGTATTTCTTTTAAATCACTTCATGTAGTGTAAGCAGTTTTAAGTATTGCTTATTTCAAACTTCATACAGTTTTTTTCTTACGTAGTAAATTTTTAAACAAATGACATATATGAAAAGACATTAATAGCAATTTGTTTTAAATGCTTGTTTTATTATTGTAATGCTCACAGCGACCAATAAATCTTCAACGCTACGTAACCATGAATCACATTTCTCTTTCGCTAACTATTCAACAATTGATAATAGAGTATGATGAGCAATTTCCTACAGCAAAGGGAATGGTTTGTGTGATTGATTGTTTAGTATATATAATATTTCATTACGTACAACAGATTAAGATGATTGTGAAACTGTATTTACAGATTGAGTTGCTTGACACTGTTCAAAGCGTCTTTGCGTCAGAAGGAATTGCGATTGGACACTCTGAGAAGCTCGTCGTACAACTTGAAACGTACTACTATATTCATAACTTGGCGTATTTACTAGAGTTCACATCTTCTCGCACTATTGGTAAAAGAATTTTTTGGAACAATAAACTTTTACAGAATAATATAATTTGAAGCAAACACAATAAAGATAAATATACAAGGTGTCTCAGAATTGGTGTAACATCTCTCGTAGACAGGTAGAAGAAGTAAAACTGAGTCGACAAGTTCATTTTGCTAGATTCGCAATAGTTACCGAAATCTTAATTAACAAAGATCCGCAAACAAGCGTGTATCGGACTGTTTTACGCGCGTAGGACAGCCCGGCGCGCTTCACACAATTACATTTTAATATGTATATGTTATATAGTATATGCTGTTAAAGTAGCTCCTCCTCCACATATGCTGCGATGGGTAACACCGTTAGCGCGCGAAGCGCACTGGGCTGTCTTAAGCGCGTAAGACAGCTCGATGCATGCTTATTTGCAGATCTTTGTTAATTAAGATCTTGGTACTTATTCCGAATCTAGCAAAGTGATATAAAACTTTTTGACTCAGTTTTACTCCTTCTATTTGTTCACGAGAGATGTTACACCAATTCTACAACACCCTGTATATTAGTAACTACTATTATATTTGTGATTGCAGTTAATCATATGATATGGAATTCAATTCAGTGGTTTTATTTTCGCAACACTAAACAAGTGGAACCGAGCGATACCAAAATTGACAATTGGTGGAAAACGTGCATTACACAATCAAATTTGAAACATGCCATTTTGCATGAATATGTAAAAAAATATTTATCAAACGATACTATACAGGACGTAAGACTCATGCAATTACATAAAATACACATTGTACATAACATGAATTGCACTTGTGGATATTATAAAACCAAATCATTTTAGATCACATCAATACTTACAAACGTTAAAGACGCAATTCGCAAACAAATAGAAAATTCCACTTGGATGGACGAGCCAACAAAAAAGACGTACCTTGAGAGACTTATGTATATGAAACACGAATTTATTATGCCCGAGTGGTACAACGACGAAGCTATTGATAGATATTACGAAAATGTAGGTACACTTGCTAAAATAATATAAAAATACTTTTTAGGTAAAGTTCAGTTTTAGTATTTTCTAGTTTTGTTCAATAAATAAAAGAAGGAATGTGTTACATGTTTATTATTTATTAATTTTACTTTACGAAAGTTATCAAAAAATAAATAAATAAAGAAAGAAAGAAATTGTGAACAATTCTAATGTGAANTTTAGATTTCTGTCAGTACGAACTATCTCGACACTGCCATACAGTTATATCAATTTGAAAGTAAGAAAATGATACGGTCGCTAAGGACACCTGACATTAATTTAGAGTAAGTCTTTACGCTTTATTCAAACATGTAAGATGTATTAAACATAATGTATTACTTACTAGATGGGATGTTGATCTGACAATAGATACTTACTATAATCTAGGTCCNGAAAAAATGGGTAATGTTGTTTAAATTATTAAGAATAAGTGATAAAAACTGTGATTTTTCAGTGTTATTACTTTATTTTGTCATTTTTTGCATATAGTTGTCCCAGCCACTGTATTACAAAATCCCATATATGACATTAATCGTATTCCGTAAGTACTT